CGCTCCACTCCACACACCCAGGCCGGCTTGGCCGGTGAGGGGGGCGCCAGCTGCCTGTGCCATCGGGCCCTCATTCATTCCAGCTTCCTACTGCTCTGGAGCGCCGTCCTCATCATGTACCCCACGAGCCTGGCCGTCATCTCCATGACCTTCTCTAACTACGTGCTGCAGCCCGTGTTCCCCAACTGCATCCCCCCGGCCACTGCCTCCCGCACGCTCTCCATGGCCTGCCTGAGTGAGTGCCCACCTGGGGGCCAGGCAGGGCCTCTGTCCCCAGAGCGGCCGGACTGCTCCCTGCCCCTGTGTGGGAAGGCTGTGGGGGGATCCCTCCAGCTGCCAGCCCTGCAGGGTGGGCCTCGGGGCTGGGCGTCCTGCACGCCGGCTGCTGCAGGAGCCGCCGTCCGCCCGCCCTTCCTCTGCAGTGCTCCTGACGTGGGTGAACAGCTCCAGCGTGCGCTGGGCCACGCGCATCCAGGACGTCTTCACCGGCGGGAAGCTGCTGGCCCTGTCGCTCATCATCGGCATGGGCTTTCTTCAGATCTTCCAAGGTAGGGCTGAGGTGGGGGCTGTGCCTGGGCTGGAGGGGTGACGCTGACCCTTGACCTCTGGGCCCCCAGGACACTTCGAGGAGCTGAGGCCCAGCAATGCCTTTGACTTCTGGATGACACCCTCCGTGGGTCACCTGGCCCTGGCCTTTCTCCAGGGCTCCTTTGCCTTCAGCGGATGGAACTTCCTCAACTACGTCACTGAGGAGCTGGTTGACCCTCGAAAGTGAGTGGAGCACCCGGCCAGGCCCTGGGAAGGGGCAGAGCGTGATTCTGGGAGAGGCAGCCTCCCTGCACAGACCTGTTGTCACCTGTGGCCACTGCCCCACAGGAATGGCTCTGGAAACACAGCTGAGACTCTTGTGTTCCCACCTGCCTCTGATCTGTGTGGCTGTGGACGAGTCACGGCCCCTTGCCAGGCCTCAGGAACACTGAGTGTCATTGTCCCACTCTAAATGGACCCAGCTATTTGCATTTGGCCAAAAGTGATACATGTGCACACAACATGGTCCCCACAAACGAAGCCATGACTCCATCTGATGCTCAGCCAGGCATCCCGACAGTGAACATTTGCAGCCGGGGCTGGGGCAGGGGCTGATGGGGAGTCCCAGGGGGCCCCTAAGCCTGTGGACTGGGCTCTCAGGGCACTTTTGGGATTTTCAGGGCTGATTTTGGCTGTCTGTAGACAGGGTATGATGTGGCCCCTCCCCCATCTACCCTTCCTCCCACCAGCGTGTGCCCAGGCTGGGGCGGGGGGTAGGGGGAGACAGATAGCAGTGCTGCCTGCTTCCCTGCCCCAGGGCCCCCCAGCAGGCCAGGAGATGGAGACTCAAAGCTGCTCCCATTGCTGGGTCCCCGGCACCCCCCTCACCCTGGGCCCTGTCCCCCAGCCCCCCGAGGACTGACACTGGCGCACTCCACCACTGCCCCCAGGAACCTACCTCGCGCCATCTTCATCTCCATCCCGCTGGTGACCTTCGTGTACACCTTCACCAACGTCGCCTACTTCACTGCCATGACCCCCCAGGAGCTGCTGGCCTCTAACGCCGTGGCCGTGGTGAGTGGGGCCCCGCTGGGTCCCTGCTGCTGTGCGGCCCCCGCCCAGCCTCACGCACCACCTCTCTTCTGTGCCCCTTCAGACCTTCGGGGAGAAGCTGCTGGGCTACTTTTCTTGGGTCATGCCCGTCTCCGTGGCACTTTCCACTTTCGGAGGGATCAATGGCTACCTGTTCACCTCCTCCAGGTGACCGGACTGGGGAGAGGGTGGTCAGGGTGAGGCCAGGCAGGTGCCCAGGCACAGGAGCAGTGCCGGGGACCAGAGGAAGTGAAATCCTGCCAGGTGGGGCCCACCTGAAGCTGGGATGATGAACTCCCCAGTAATAGATGTCTGATCCCAACTCTGAGGGACAGAAGGCAAGAGAGAGGCAGGCTAGATGAGGGGAAGAACTGCCCACTGGGGCTGCTGGGGCCTGGAGCAGGGGGTCAGAGGCGACAGCTCAAGAGGGACGTCGGGTCTAGAGCTGAGGTCCGGGATCTGGCTGGCGGGGAGGCCTAAGGCAGGGCTCAGGCCCCTTCCCATCCCTGTCCTCACCCCCAGACTGTGCTTCTCTGGAGCCCGGGAGGGGCACCTGCCCAGCCTGCTGGCCATGATCCACGTCAGACACTGCACCCCTATCCCCGCCCTCCTGGTCTGCGTAAGTTAGGGGACCTGGCGGGGTGGGGAGCCGGGGCCCCCAGCAGTGTGGGTAATGGCAGGGGTCAGCCCTGGCCCCGGTGGGCAGCCTGCAGAGGGAGTGGGCAGGGCTGGGTCTCACAACGTCCTGGTCTGAGCGGCAGGCCCAGGGCAGCCGGCAGGGCTGGCAGGAGGCAGGTGGGAGGCCACCCTCAGCCCAGTCCTCTCCCAGTGCGGGGCCACGGCGGTCATCATGCTTGTGGGAGACACGTACACGCTCATCAACTATGTGTCCTTCATCAACTACCTCTGCTACGGAGTCACCATCCTGGGCCTGCTCGTGCTGCGCTGGAGGCGGCCGGCGCTCCACAGGCCCATCAAGGTGAGGCCCCGGGAGCACGGGCTGGCGCACGGGCTGGGAGCTGTCAGAGCCGCCCCTTCTCGTGTGGGCACCAAGGGCAGGCGATGGATGACAGCAACAGGGAGTCCAGGTTTGGCCACGTGCTGGCCCCACTCAGGGCTTTGTGTGCACTGACAAGTTTGGTCCTTGTGACAACCCCATGGCGGGGAGCTTTGAATACTCCCAGTTTACAGGCGGGAACATGAGGCTGAGACACGCTCACGGTCACACGGGATTCCCTGAGCGCGCACAAAACTGAAGACCCTAAAGCGAGCTAAAAGACAAGTCCTCCTGTCTGCATACAAACCCTCCGAGCTGGAGAAGTGCTCAGGGCCCGAAATGTGACACACCAAAGCATCATTGACCTTCGGCCAAGCGCAAGCGGCAGGCCCACACCGTCGCTGTGTGGAGCTCAGAGATACCGAAACTTTGACAAGTCCTCAACCATTTGGCCAACTGGCCATCCATGAGTTGGCTCCAGATGTTGGGCTGCTACCAGAAGGGAGCCCCTCAGGCCTCAGCTCCCAGGACAGGGTGGGAAGCTCCCCGTCCCCCAGGTGGTGAGGCAGGAGAGCCAGGCCGGGTCCTGCACTGTTGGCACTGCCTCTCGCTCTCCCCAGGTGAACCTCCTCATCCCGGTTGCGTACTTGGTCTTCTGGGCCTTCCTGCTAGTCTTCAGCTTCATCTCGGAGCCCATGGTGTGTGGGGTCGGCGTCATCATCATCCTCACGGGGGTGCCCATCTTCTTCCTTGGAGTGTTCTGGAGACGCAAACCAAAGTGTGTGCACAGACTCACAGGTGAGCCGGCAACCTCCCGAGGTGGCGGGGCCTGGGGATGGGACCTTCTTGGGGGCTCGCCCGAGGGCGGGGTCTCCCAGCAGTTGTGGTGGCAGCACAGGACCCAGCCACCACCGAATGCCTCTCCACGATGTGGCCCAAGTGTCCAGGACCCCCCTGCAGAGGGAGCAGCTCCCCGAGGACCTCTGCCCCCCGGGGTCAGACCCCAAGGTCGATCTGTCTGTCTGTTCTCAGAGTCAATGACACGCTGGGGCCAGGAGCTGTGTTTCGTGGTCTACCCCCAGGGCGCCCCCGAGGAGGAGGAAAACGGCCCCTGCCAGCCCTCCCCACTGCCCGCCACAGACAAGCCCTTGAAGACACAATGAGACATTTGTGGAGCCCGAAGCAGCTGTTTCTGTTTACACGTTGTTTATTAAGGAGGTGTTTTTGCAAAAAAGTTTTTTTTTCTCCTGGAAAAAAAGAGATCTGACTCTTAGAGGCCTGTGGTAAGGAAGCCCTGAAGATGTGGACTGGGCTCCCTGTCAGCGCCACCCTGCTAGCTTTCCCTGGAAAGGTCTGTGAATAAAACAGGCTGGAGATGCGCCGGTCTCAGTGAGTCCCGGGCATGGCTCGGCAGGGGCCAGCGCGGGGTGGCCGGGGAAGATGCCCAGCTGCCCCGGAGGAGGCTCTGCCGCTCGGGCCAGGCACTCCCTCCCTCCCTCATGGGGTCCAGAGCCACCCCGGCCCCAAAGGGACATCAGGATTGGGACGTGGCCAGGTGTGCCCCTCCCCAGGCCCCAAGGCCAGCCCGAGGCTCAGCCACACAGGAGAGCCCAGGATTCCCACCCGAAGTGCCTCTCTTCCCATAAATCCCCACGGAGCGAGTGTCAGGACTTCGGAGCCCACGGCCTCACCCTGGTTTACGGGGGAGACTGAGGCCGAGATAGGACGGGATGCACTTGGCCACTGTCAGTTGGTGCCTCGGCCTCTGTCCTGCGAAGGCTGAGCAGCATCTCCCAGGGGCCTCGGCCTGCAGGAAACTCATGGGCTTTCTCTAGCCCGGGCCCACATTCCCAGACCCACCCTCGTGCCTGGGAGATGGACCCCTCAGCCAGAGGGCGAAGGGCACCCGCCTGGCCAGGTCCATGCTGACACTGCAGACATGAGGACGGGGCAGAAGCCTCCTAGCGCAGCTCCTCCAGGGCCTGCTGGGAGAATGGAGGAGGGTTCACTGCCAGCAGAGCACCCACCGTGGAACAGGTCCATGTGCCCACCCACCGCTCTGTTCAGTCTGGGCACAGCCCTGGTGCCCCATGGGGCAAATGAATAGAGAAGCCACAGAAAACACTCCCGAGAGCCCTGCCCCGGCCCTCCCACTTCTCTGGAAATGGATTCCCAGAATGGAGTGGGGGAGGTAGAAGTGGGACCCCAGGGTGCCTGTGTGGACACAGGGGCCCCGCCGTGGGGCTCCTCACTCGGCCCTCCTCCCCCGGTCAAGCCCCCACAGCCCCAGCCTGCCACGCCCACCAGGGGTGAGGGGGTGCCGATGCTGCGAGCTGGCTGGGCTTCTGGGTGGGTCTCCCCGTAAGAAAGAAGGACGCGGAGGCAGGGCAGGAACGACTGTGTATTCCCTGGTTACAAAGCGGGGCTGTGGCGGTCGCCAGCGTGTCCAGCAGGTCAGCACACCAGCAGGGCCTCGTCATCACTGGCCTCCAACGCTGGGGAGCAGGGTGGCGGGGGGCTCCCGCAGATACCCAGTGGCTCTGGCGGGTGGGGGCCTAGGGTGCTGCTGGCCGAGGAGGCCAGAGAGTGAGGGTCCTGGGCCGAGCAGGGCTCCCAAGGCGTGTCCACAGGGGCTGGGCTGTCCACCAGAGTGTCCCTGCAGGCCCTTCTGTCCTTGTCCATTGGCCTGCACTCCGGGTCCCGCAGGCCTGAGGGGGGCAGCTCGGAAGGTCCCACCTCTGGTGCATGGCAGGGGACACTGGGGGGCCTGTCCCCAGCTGCTCTGGGGCTGCCCGTGTCCGTGAGGGGTGCCGGGGGGTCCGGGGCGGCCCCCAGTGCCGGCCGGAGGAGCCCATCGCCCAGCACCGTCTGTGAGGTCCGCGCAGCGGCCAGCAGCGGGATCTGGCCGCGCGGTGCCCGCGGCCGGTGAAAGAGCCGGTTCCACAGGCGGCCGAGGCGGCGGCGGGAGGGCCCGCGGCGGGAGGCATGCCGGCGCATCTGTCGCCGCATGGCCGTGCGCAGGTTCTGTAGCACCGAGACCTGGAGGGCGGGGCGGCGGCTGAGGGGGCAGAGGTCAGCACGACCCCCAAGGGACTCGAGACCCCAAGAGACCAACTTGTCCCCCCACCTGGCCATGACCTCACCTCCCACCTTCCTCGACCCCTGGACCAGCCTGGCCACTCGCCGTCCGCCCTGGCCCCTAGGCCTGCCTGTCTCGGGCCTTCTCTGAGGTCTGGCCGGGAGCCTGGGCCCTGAGGGGCCTCACACCCCCTGGCGCTCACCTGGGAAGCGCTGTAGACGGGAAAGTCCTCCACGGGTGGAATGAGGCCCTGCGCGATGAGCTGCCCGTAGGACGGGGGAGCCTCCCGCCGCACAAACTCAGCCTCTAGGCGCGTCATCTGGGTCTCGAAGGCCCTGGAAGCAATGGGCAGAAGGGCAGCATGGCAGGGACGGCCAGGACCCCACACTGCCCCTGCCCCTCCGCAGGGGCTCAGCAGCAGCACGTGGGCCCTGCCCCTCCAATGGACATCCCGAGATGCCCAGACCCTGCTATTCACGAGACAAGTCTCCGTGTGGACGGCCCGAGTCCCCATTTACAGACCCAAAGCAGTGGGCACAGGGAGCCCAGGGCCTCTCTCCAGGGAAATGAAGAAACCGCGGCTCCTGGCATGCGACCCCAGGCGCCCCGCCCTCCCACCTGTACTCCTGCGTGCGCAGCGAGTAGAGCTTGAAGGCGCAGCCCAGGGCGATGACGAGCAGCAGGCCGCAGACAAGGCTACCGATGAGGGCGGCCGTGATGACCTTGCGGGGAACCGCTGCCAGGCAGCCGTGCTCGTCGCTGCCATCTTGGCAGTCCTCCTGGCCGTCGCAGCGCCACGTCTCAAAAATGCACAGGTTGGTGCCACAGTGGAAGGTGCCAGGCTGGCAGGAGAAGCAGTTCTTCTCGTCGGCGCCGTCGGGGCAGCTCTTCTGGTTGTTGCAGCGGTCGGCAGGCGCGTAGCACAGGCCGCTGCCACCCTCGCAGGGGTACTGGTCAGGCGGGCAGGCGGGGCAGCCCTGCTCATCACGGCCACTGGCGCAGTGCCACCAGCCGTCACAGCGCTGGGGCTCCGAGAAGCAGCCCTGCTCGCCCGGGTCACCCTCATCACCCTCGCCGCTGCTCCCGCACGGCTGCTCCCATGGGAGGCAGTAGCCCTTGACCTGGTAGGTGGCGTTGAAGCCGTGGCCGGCGCTGCGGGCACGGGCGTGGTAGGCCACAGTGAGGCGGCCCTGGGCGGCCTCAAGGCTCACGGGCCGGTGGTTGCTGCGGTAGGAGAGCGTCTGCAGCAGGCGGTCCCCCCGCTCGCCCAGGCCCTCGTACACCTGCACGTAGTCGTCGTAACCCAGCCGCAGCTCCAGCTGCAGCAGCACGCGCCGCGGGTCCTGCGTGTCCACCAGCCACGTGCAGTGGAGGTCTGAGGGCCCGCGGGCCGCTCCAAACAGGTCTGGGGAGGCAAAGGAGCCATAGAAGCTGCCCAGCCGCCGGCCGCACGCCAGGTCGGGGCAGCCAGCCTCATCGGAGCCGTCGCCGCAGTCCTGCGTGCCGTCACAGCGCCGCTCCACAGGCAGGCAGCGCGTGGAGCGCGCTCCGCTGCAGGGGAAGGTGCCCCCAGGGCACAGGCTGCCCGGTGGCTCAGAGGCAGGTGCCGAGCAGTTGCCCTCATCAGAGCCATCGCCACACTCATCCACGGTGTTGCACTGCCAGGGGCCCGGCAGGCACTTGCCGTTGTCACAACGGAACTCGTCTGCCTGGCAAGAGGCCTGGCCCAGCTTCCCTGTGGGGTGAAGAGTGGGGGCAGACGGTCAGAAGAGAGCAGAGCCTCCCTCCAGCTCAGGGCCTGGGGCCAGGAGCGGGCAGGGTGGTTCCTCCATCCCAGTGGGACCTCTGTAGGGCCCGGGAAGAGGCAGGACCTAGGAGAAGGGCCCCTGGCCTCTCCACGGCCACCCAAGAGGCAGAGAGCCCTGGAATGCCAGGGTGGGCTCAGTCCCTGACCTGGGCCGGGGCAAGGGGCAAGCCCTTCACTCTAGCCTCGTCTGTGTATTGGGGTCAGTGCCCTCCAGGGGCTCTGAGGACAGGTCCCAGTGCCACCACTGTGCTCTCGCTGACGGGGCTGCTGCGGGAGACCCTGCAGGGAGCAGGCTGGTGGAAGTGCTGCCCTAGCCTGGGAGCCCACACACACACTCAGTGCTCTGTGGTGGCCCGCCCCGCCCTGCTGCTGGCGTCACCTCGGATGTATGAGAGACGGAAGCCCTGGGCCTGGCCGGAGCTGGAGGCGTCGGAGTGGAAGAAGATCCAGACGTGGTCCCGGGCAGAGATGAATGCGGGCGGGATGGCGGAGCCGCACAGCCGGAAGGCCTCCTGGTGGGGCGGGGCCGCGGGGCCCAGCATGAGCCAGTCCAGGGAGCACTGGTGAGACTCCTCCACGTCAAAGTTGCGGAAGCTGCGGGGGCGGAGAGGCTGCAGACGTGGGCAGGCAGGCAGTGCCCACCTGGCCGAGGACCAGCAGGGAATGGTCGTACCTGAGCTCACCGCGAGGACGGCCGGCCCCACCCAGCCTTGTCTTCCAAACTTCCTGATCCTCCACTCCCAGCCACTTGGTGGGACCCCTGTCACCACCCAGGGGCAGCCCCATTGTAGGGCTGTGAAGACCCCACCCTGTCCCTTCCCGCCCTCTGTCAGCACACGCACAGCACCCCCACCCCAGAGCCAAAGGGGACCGGGAGTCAGGAGCCCCATCGTGGGCAGTTCCCTCCCCTGAGGGAGGGAGGCCCAAGGGTCCAGGTCCCTCCCACGCTGGGTCTGCAGGGGCAGGCGCAGCACAAACTCACGGGCCTGTGCACTGAGAGGAGCTGTGCCCACGGGGCTGGCCTGGGCTGGGGCTGGGTGACAGCATGTCACCTGGGGAGAAAAACTGGCCCTGGACCCCCTGGCCCAGGCTGTCGGATGTGCAGGTCACAGGGCCATGGAGTACTCTAGAAGCCGCCTGTGAGGGTGGAGTCTTTGAGAAGAGCATACCTGAGAGCCAGGGCCCTGTGGCCACAGGGAAATATGGACACCAGGGCAGACCCTGCTGTTGCCGGTCCATCCCGGGCTCTGGAGCTATGGAGTGGCTGCAGGCCTTCTGGGCTTTGGCATTTAGGAGAGTGACTCCCAGCCAAATACCCCCAGGCCACCCCCTGCCAGGGTCCAGCCTCAGTCCCACCACCTAGTCGCCTCACCCCATTTCCCTCTGCATGTCCCCACAGCTCGAGCACCCGGGCCCCTGCCTTCCTGCCGAGACCACCCTGAGGCCCAGGGGAAACCCTGCTCTGGGCTCAGTGCTAGCCTGGCCTCAAGCCACCCCTGCAGGATAGACAGGACACCTCTGCCACCTCAGAGACAGCTGGACTATGCCCACCAGTCCCCAGGGCTCCCCTCCCCGGCAGCCCTCGCAGCCCTCAAGTGCAAGAGGCTCAGGGCAGGACGAGGCCCAGCTCCAAGCAGGCAGCCACAGAGGCCCAGAGAGACCCAGGGAGCTGAGCACACACATGCTAACATGCACACGACTCACACATGTTCACACGTGCACTCACACGCATGCTCTACACATGTACTTGCACACATACCCATCTGTTGACACATGTGCCCTCCACACCTACTCAGACCCGTGCTCACATATGCACACACTTGCACGTGTCCTCTATGCCCGCTCAGATGTGGGCTCATGCACATACACAGGCACACACGTGCTCACACATGTACTCGTGCACAGGCACATCACACACACGCGCACACTCAGCACGTGTAAACCCACCTAGATTCCCTCTGCCACCCCGGGGCCCCCATACCTGATGGTGATCATGTCCCCACGGTCGCCCTGGATGTACCAGCTACAGTTGGTGCCGGGCGGGTAGTTGAGGGGCCAGGCCGGGCTGTAGATGACGCCGCGCCGCTCTGTGTGCTGCTCCAGCTTCCCGCTGCAGGCAGCTGTTGGGAGATAAGGCTCAGAAGCGCTGGCCTCACCACTGGGTGGGAAGTGGCGTGAGGGAGGGGGGCACTAGAGGCCCCCGTGGCTTGAGCACATGTCCTCCCCAGGGAGGGATCAAGGCCAGTCACGGGCCCATGGCAAAGGGCAAGACTACAACTGGAGACTTCATGGGAGTGGTGTGTACGGGGGCCAAGGAGAACCCACGTGGACTCGAGCAGCCCACCCTGTGCCCGGATCCTGTGTCCCATCCCCATCCCCGCAGGGCTGGGAGCGAGCCCACCAACAACTCCCTCGGCACCTCCAGGGTGCAGCCTCTTGGCCTCAGGGCCTCAGCTTAGTGGAGAATTCTGCACCCCCAGGCCCATCAGCCCTGCACAGGCGATCCCACTGGGGTTCCCTGCCTGCCCTCCCTGGGACCTGCCAAACACAGACCTCAGCGCCGGGAGGGGAGGGGCTTTGCCCACCTAACAGATATTTACTGAGGACATACTATGTGCCGAGTGCAAGTATTAGGCCCTTTGAGTAAGACAGGCAAAAGCCCCGCTCTGCGGAGCCCGCAGGCTGCAGGAGCAGCAGACGGACTTCATGCAGATGATCTGCGTGGACTGAAGACTATAGAACAGGCCTGGAGGGAGGGGCCAATGTCCAGACCAGCTGGAAACACAGGCTGGGGCTGATCACAGCTTGTGTGGAATTGGGGTTTTATCCTGAGCATAAGGGGGAAGCCACTGGAGGTAGGTGTGGCAGCCAGATGAGAAAACTACCCCTGCGCTTGGCTGTGCCCACCCCTCACAGTCCCTGCACCCCACTGCCCCGTCTCATCGTCACAACAGACTATGGGGCAGGCGGGGTCCCTTACACAGATGGAGAAACTGAGGCGCAGGGAAACAAGGATGACTTGCCAAGCCCAGTGACTGCACCTCCTTGTTCTCCCCCTGCCTGGCACCTTCACTGTTGCCCCAGAAGCACGGGTCTCTCTGCTTGCTGTCAACAAGACTCTTCAGACCGCACACAGCAGGGCTGCAGAAGGAGAATGACAGCCCTCCGTGCCCGTGGAGGTCCGGGTGACCCAACACTGTGACTATCAGGGAGTCAGTAACCCCCAGCGACAGCTCACAAGAGCGTCAGAGGACTAGGAGAGAAACACACACCCTTGACCCTAAAGCAAGGTGGCCACCCTCAGGTCGCCATCAGAGCCCCAACAGTCATCGGGTCATCGAGGTACCAGCCAGGCCTCTCCACTCAGCACTCACCCTGAGCCTCAGATTTCTCCCCCATAAAACAGGAGCATGTGCTCTGCTCGCAGCCCAGGAGGGAAAGGACTAGAGTGGCAGCCAGGGCCCGAGCAACGTGTTCACTCTGACGGGCGAGGCCACCGGCTTTGTGGACCTCACAGGGGCCCTGGGTGCTGACCTGGGGATGCCCTGGGAGGTATGCGGTTATGAAACCCAGAGGAGGCTTCTCCTCCCGGAGGGTGCTGGGTCGGGGGTTCACAGGCAGGGAGGGCCCAGCACGGTTGGGGGGCATCGTCCCCTGTGTCAGGTCTAAGCACACATTACACCCGGAGTCAGGAGGCTCCGTCAGCTGGGGTGGGGACCACCCCTTTTCCCCAGTACCCTCAGCCCGCAGGACAGGGCCTGGGCAAAGCAAAACCTACCCCAGCCCGGAGGCCTTCCCTAGGGGACGGAGCCCTCAGAGGCCTGGCTCCTCACCCACACTGATCACGGGAAGCCAGGCCTGCAGGGACCTCTGTCTGTCTTTCAGGGATCGGGAGGCCTGTCTCCCCAGACCACCAGATAAGTCAGGAGCAGATGACGGGACAGCTGCCAGCCTGGCTCTGCCTCTCAATAAAGCCCTGACAACACACCCCCCCGAAACAGCCTCACCCCTGAGCGCCCCCACAGCTGCCCCAGAAACCCCCACATCGGGGGCAGCAGTGTCACCCGGTTACTGTTGGCTCTTCTCCAGAGAGGGCCCCGAGACTGTGGTGTCTGCAGCCGTCAGCCTGGCCCATGCAGAGTGAACATGGAGAGGAGGGACACAGGGTCCATGCAGGGAGCCGGGAGCTCTGGGCGTGGCCTCTTGACCGGGTACCGCTTGGCTGTGGGCCTGGGGGCACCACCAGCTCAGACAACCAGCCCCAGGCCTCTCTGTGACAGCAGGCCTCACCCCACCCCAGCATCATGCAGGACCCAGGCCCAGGAGGGGGAAAGGGCCTCATGAATCGGGTCCTGGGGCTCACACCGCCAGACACACCCACCATCCTGGGCCTCAGCTTTCCATCAGTAAAGTGGAGTCAGTGAGTGCCGCTTGTCTCAGAGGGCAGCTGGGAAATCTGAGGAGAGCAGCCGTCTCCAGGCAGACGTCACGTGATGGGGGGCTATGCCCTAGGGAAGGCGAGGGTCCTGACGGGGTGTGTGATGATGGGCGGGCAGTGAGGGGAGCTGAGAGGACTGCGTGTTTGGGGAGATACTGATGCAGGAGAGAGGGTTTTGCGGGTGTTTGCGGGCAGTCAGAGAGCACTGTCTGAGCTTTAACTGGGCGTGACCCGAAGATTCCCTCAGCCCCTAGGCTGAGGTGGCCGCTCGAGTGGGCAGGGATGACTGAGCACTTTCAGACCAGCCCTTCTTTCCTGGCCCTAAGAGCCGTCAGATACCCCGGAGAGGGCCCGAGCAAGGCTCATGAAGCACAATCTGCAGATCCGGTTTCCAGAGGCGATCGATACGCCGGACAACCTGCCTAGTGTAACCGGATGACGGGGAGCCAGGAGCCCCACTTGGGGGAAGCTGCCGAGTGAGTGGAGAACAGCCTAAAGACCGCGCCCAGGCTGCCCTCCCCAGGTTACATGGGCTGCATGGCAGAGCCGGCGGAGCCCAGAGTCCAGGATGCAGGAAGTGGGTCATCTGACCCAGTTGGTGCCTGACAACCTGGGGCAGGACGGGGGCTGAGGGACAAAACCTGTGAGGTCTCTGGGCAGCCCAGCTGGGCCCCCAAGAGTGTCTGAGCCCAGTGAGGGCTGGGAGGGGGCAGGGGGCACAGTTATGGTGCAGGCTCCTCACAGTAGGAATTGCCCAGAAAACTCTGAAAATGCAAAACCATGGAGTCTTGGGCGGGGGACACCCCAGGCAGCTAGAAGCTGGTCTCCACTTCTCTTAGCAATGCAGGAGGGATCAGAGCTAGGGCTCCAGACCACCACCTGTGGCCACACGGGCTGTGCATGCAGCTCAGGACACTGGGGGCGCCATGCACAGCCACCTTGATGTGATTAGTGGCCCCTGGAGTTGGGCGACGTGGACCCCATTGCGGCCTGAGGTCTCGATAGCTAAGAACGCCCAAAGGTGTGGACCTGGATGGCTGTTGTTCTCTCCCTGGCTCTGTGAGTGATCCTTGTCCCTGGAGCATCACTTCTCTACACCTGAGACACATGCATGTGGCAGGCACATTTGGGGCAACATGCTCCCCCATCACACCAGCAGGAGGGCTAGCCTGGGGCTCACGTTCATTAAGATGTGACCCCCTACGCCCTCCACCCCAACACTCTCCACTACGGCCACAGACACCTCACCCAAGCAGAGCCAGTCAGTCTTCTCCTGGAGATTGAGATGGGGAGACTGGGTAGTTAGCTGTGGGGACCAGGACTCTAGGCAGGGCTGGGGCTGGCTCAATGCTGAGCAAGGCAGGGCCCTGGGTTAGGGGAGTCAGCAGAGGAGGCTAGGCTGCAGGGAGCAGGAGCTGGTGTGCAGGGAGACTGAGGCCATGTTGGCAAGACCGGCCCATGAAAGTAGCTTCTGTGGACCCAGGCCCTCCCCATCCCCGTGACCTTGCCAACAGAGATCCCTCTCCTGGAGCCAGCTTCAGTGGGTTTCTGCTGCAAGCCGGGCCCTGAGCAGGACTAGAAGTCCCAGTCCCTCCTGCCCCTCCATGCAGCACAGCAGGCAGCAAACAAGTCAGAGCCCCCCAGACTGCGGACCGCACACCCTCCCCAGCTCCCTGAGGCCCTTCTCAGATGTCTCCTGGTGGCACCAATGGCCACAGGGTCCCAGGCTTATGCATTCGCCAATCCCTGGCAGCCCCTCAGCAAAGAGCAAAGACTCTGATGGCCTCAGCTGCCCCTCCCGCTCCCGACAGTCTTTGCTGTGCTCGGCACTAGGCCTGAACACAAAGATGGCCAGTGGATGGACGGACCCACTGCGACAGGCAGGAGGCAGGAGTGGTTCTAACCGTGTGTCTTAGATTCTGTATGTCTATTTGGCAACCACTAATCACCGGGCGAAACTCTCAGCCAATTGCTGATCTCTCTCCTGCACACCAGCTTGCCTGGAACTGGTCCTTCCCGGGCAGGCCGGCTGATCCACAGCTGAGACCCCACCCACCTTCTTACCTACCTCACACACAAGCCAGTATTTCCCTACAGCCCAAAGCCGGCTGGAATTATTCACAGTAGCCAGTCCTAAGCTGTTTCCCTGTCCTGTCTTGCCTTTCCGCCAGAAACCCCAGCAAAGGCTCTGGCCCAGGCCTTCCTCTCCCTCCTGCGTCTGCCTCACCAAACCTGTAGTCCCCTGTGGCCCCGTGTGGTGTGGTGTGTCTCCTCCTCTTAAGACACAAGTAACAAATTCTTCTGTCAATGGCACTGGCCTCTGTGTCATCACTCAGTCATACCTTTATAAATTAAACCCCAGGTATCATTTTAAAACAGGCAGGCATCTTATGGCTCCTCATGGCCCTCGGGGAACCCCACAGCCTACAGGAGGCACAATCTGTCAATTGTACCAGGCCTGTGACAGTTTGCGAGTGGTATCAAGCCAGCACGTGCCAAGGCCGCGCTGAGCACCATTCCTCGTTAGCCCATTCAACCCTGATAACCAGGCTTTGAGGTCGGTCCTGTTACTGCACCCATTTTACAGAAGAGGAAACTAAGACTCAGCAAGGTGTGAGCTTGCCCAAGGCCAGACAGCTCCATTGTGAAGCAGAAAAGATGCACAAGGATTGAGAGTGAAAGAGGCCAGGGACCTCAGGGTGGACAGGCCTTCAGGTGGCTCAGAGGTCACTGAACCAGAGGGACAGGGAGGAGGGGAGGAAGGAGAGAAGCATCTTACTTACCCAAGGCAGGAACCGCGCTGCTGAGCCGCCCAGTGAGGACGATGTTCACTGTGGGAGACACGAAGGGGGTTCAGTGGGGGGCAGTGGCTCTTAGGGGCCTCAGGACCCCTCCCCCACCCCCACAGCTGAAAAGAGCAGTGTGCAAGCCTGCACCAGACCATGCTTGCTGCCCCCCATGCCTGGGAACTCTAACTCACTTGGAGGGGGTGTTTCTGTTTCCTGTCGAGCTTGGGAACCTCGAGCCTGGACCACCCATCAGAGAACGGCCCTGGCTCAGCCAGGTGGGGGCCCTGCCTGTCAAGGGGGATCCTACCACCTTGAAGGGCTTCCTTTGAGGGGCCTTGCCAACCGCCTCGTCCACCACGAGGAAGGAAGGGAAGCCGTGCTGATGACCCCGTGTGACAGGCACGCACAGAGAGCAGGGCTCGGGGCGCTTCCTCTCACTGGGCCATGCTGACCTTGAGAAGGGAGGCAAGGAACTCTCCTGCCACTCACCCCTCGAGTACCCACAGCCGTGGGGTTTGTCCTTTGCCTTCACCTCCTGCCTTCCTACGGGGGTTACAGGACCAGGAGGAAGATATGGGCAGAGCCCACTTCCAGGAGTACAAGGTGCCCCCTTCCTCCAACATCAGGAGGCCAAGGGAGGCAGAGAGCATCTCTGTGGGGCTCAGCCCTGACCTGGTGAGGCAGCAGGGGCACTGCCCCCTCTCAGGACACCCAGGCTCTGCTGGGCAGAGCCCATGCCACATCTGGGCAGAGAGGACCTTGGGGAAGCCAAAGGGCCTGTCCCCCTGCCCTGCTCACCTGGGAAGCCCAGCCCCCAGCAGCTCAGAGGCCGGAGCCCATGACCACTAACAGACCGGGGAGCGGGTGCTCTGGGGTCCCGTCCCTTGTTTAGACCAGCTCACACAGCTGAGGCAGGGGCCTTGCCCCAGCTCCCTGATTCTTGGGGGGCTGAGGAGGGTGCAGCCTAAAATGGACAAGTTTCTTTATTCTTTGTCATTTCAGTGGCTTCAGCAAACCTACGGGTTACAGCACCTTCACTGGTGACAATATAAGGGTGTCCCCTAAAGATCCCCAGCTCAGATAATGGTCTCTCTCCTTTATTATGGTAAATAAAGAAGCCATGTGAGTTGAAGACTTAACTCCTTCCTTCCCCTCTCCTCCACACAGGGCCCTGGAAAGATGGGCAGACAACTCCTGGGTAGAGTAGGTGCCCCTCTTGCCCAGGTGCGGGCCCTGGCCAGGTCCCTGGGCCTCCCCAGACACACCACCCTGGGCTGAAGAGGCCTGCCCCGCTGGCTCTGAGAAGACACAAAGGGAAGACAGGAGTCCTTCTCCCCGCCGCCGCCTCCTAGCCGGCATCCTGAGTCCCGGCTCGGCTCCGGCTAGCACCCGCCCCCACCCCAACTCCGGGCAGGAAACAGTTCCTCTTCTTCAGGGGGCAGCTGGCCCTGCCTTTGTCCGTAGCTCCGGAGGCCCCGATCGCCGCCGGGCTAAGCGCGGGCAGGCCAGGCGGAAAGCCGCTGCCTGCCACCCCCGCCGCCGGCACCGGCGGGCCGCCCTGCTCACGGCTCGCCCCGGGCTCCAGGCGCTCTTCCGAGCCGGCCGGCAGCCGGGGCTCCGCTGCCAGAGTCGCCCTCCCGGGCCTAGGACCCCAGCAGGCCGGGGTGCGGGGGACGTCGTCTCCGCGGCCTCGGCCGGAGCTCCCGCAGCGCCGACTCCGGGAAGC